GGTAGGTGGAGTGGGATTCGTTAAAAAAGAAACACAAACCGAGGCACTCCTCGTTGCGTCCTGATCTGATCTGCACATCTAGAACGGTGGGATGAAAAAGAATAAACTGGCAGATAAACAACCAGGATGGGGGTTATGACAGCTGCCACATGCAGCTGATGAGTCTGCAGCTGAATGCAAGAAGATGGCCTCGGCCTCTGTCCCCTCTTGCTCCCCAGTCCTATATATATATCTCACCTCCCTAACCTCCTCCTTCACGACTCCCTGCTCCTCCCTCGGGTAATGATGTGAAAGAATGTTGTCGATTCTTCGTCTCTTGGTGCTGAAAAGCTTTAGTGGCCATTTAAATGAGTTCTTTTGTCCGGGGGCCCCGGCCATTGAGAAGACGGTTCAAAATGCCCATCCACTGAGTCCACATTTAGACAGAGGGTGTTAGAGAGGGTGTGTATGGGACCGAGAGACACGGGGAGAGCTAGAAGCCAGCCGATTTACATCATAGTCACATGTGGTATAAGAGTGTGCTCCCCCCCCCCCCCCCCTCCCCTCCCCTCCCCTCCCCTCCCTGAAAAGCCCAGACCAAGGCAAAGAACAGCGGGCTGGACTGACCGCTGCCTCCAGTCGGCTCACTCCACTACAGACGGTGTGCTGGATGTGAAGACGAGAAAGTACGTTGGTGGCACCCCCCTTTCTTTCTTCCTTTTTACTTTGGTGTCTTTCCTTCTGCTGACATGGCTGAAAGCTGTCAGTGCCGTTAGTCAAACTCAACTCATATGGTCAGTCAGCTGACGTGGACTTCATGTGGTCCGATGTCTTCACTCGGCTCACCTGCCCACTCTACATACTACGCGATCATCGCGCGCAGCAGCAGCAGCAACCACTTTGTCTGCCGCTGACGTCAAGGCAGCACCCGGTGGTCCCAGCGCAAAAGGAGGCCCAGCACCTGCCCCGTGGACCACTGCGGGGACAATACGAGCGCAGGACTCGTCTGGCAGGCCGCTGGGGTGCTTCAGCCGCACAGAGCCCAAAGAGGGCCGAGAAACAAAAGCTGGCAACGTGGGAGGCTTTACTCTCCCTGCTCAACAAAAGCCAGGGGAAAAGAAAGAGCACTTCCTGCCCCTACACCCCCGCTGACTTGCATCCTTCCCACCACCTCCGTCATTACAATAAACAAATATAGCAGAAGACAAACAAACGCCCTGCTCTGCAGTCATAAAGACCAGGTTCTCGAGCCTCAAAAAGAGTATTTGGCATTCAAAAGACCCTGCAGAAAAATTCAAAAGCACACTCTTGTACGAACATCAATGAGCACATTGACTCTTTCCTCATCCAGGACACATACAGCGCCTGCTGCTGAGAAAGGCCAACGCTGTGAAGTGCAGGCAGCACACAAGTACAGCAGACACAAACAGAAGCAGTGGTTTTTCCGCCTCTGGTGATGTTATTGATATTGCCATGGCTCTATTTATTCTATTCTATTCTTCTATTTCCAGCTGCAAGGCTCACATGCTCTAAATGTTCATACGCCTGAATGTGTTTCGTTTTGTGTCGTTGCGTGCTCCTCTACAATCTACTATGAACGGCTAACAAACACCACCATCTCTCTTTAGTTTCAGAACTTTAAACAAAGTAACTGTAAGTGTTAGTTCATGTCAAAAGCTGCAGTGCTGGTACGACCTCAACGTCATCTCAAGTGTGAAATATTTCCCGTGCAAGCCGGTGGACTAATGCTGTTGCGCCACCGTGTGAAAAGAGCCTTTTGGAAGTAGACAAACGAATGAGCTGCTTCAAGTCGGACCTCTGGGGGAAAGAGAGGGGGGGTACAGGAGCAGGCAGAGGGGGTGAGAAAGTGACAGCGGGACGGAGTGAGACAAAGGGAGGGAGACAGAGAGGTGGAGGTCGGACAGGAAAAGCTGTTGGCCTTGCATTTCCGCCTGGCGGCACCTCGCAGGGCCAATTTGAGCCCTAAATGTGAAGGTGGTGACCTTGCGGGCCCAGAAGGGTGGCTGGGCGGGGCGGGGGGGCTTGAGCCTCTGACTCTCTGCTTTATGTCATGATATGATGAGTTGTCACAACAGCTTGCGGGGCGCTAATGAGCTGTAGTGAGGCCGGGGCAGGGAAGGGAGGGCCGGGAAGAGAGGAGATGTGGGGATGACAGTGCCGTGATGGATTGAGGTCCTCTCAGGCCTCCGAATTCCAAAGCAAGCAGAAAAAGCTGCCAGAGCGCCCTGAGCCTCTCCCAGAGCGTGCAAGTGGCCCACGTCCAAGGCACATGGAGTGACACTATGCAGAAAAACACACACACACACACACACACACACACAACACTGGAGAGCTGGGGAAAGTGTCAGAGAAGAGTAATTTGTACGTGTGTGCGAGTACGTGCGCACTATTTGGTTTGAGTAAAAGTAAAAGCTGTGCTGCCACCAATCCAATGAATCATCTGGTATCATTCCATGCCGTCCTGTTGAAATCTGTTTACACATACGACTGCTGTTCTCCTTTGGGAGGTATAGAGTGCCCCCTCTAGGCTAAAGACCTTCATCTCCTAGCAAACCGCGTATCACACCAACCAGTATTCACACACACACACACACACACACACACACACACACACACACACCCTGGTAGCACTCAAGTCAAATCAATCCTCAGATTCAAGAAGACAATCTAAAAGGAATATTTGGAGATTAACGGCAATGGAATATGAAATGCTCCGACAAAATTAAAGGCTTATCAGAGCCACGATCTCCCAGCATACCACGCGGATTAAAAAAAAAAAACATTTCAGAAACAATATTTCTTGGTTTAATCACTGGAGAGAGAAAGAGCTCTCCACCATATTAAGAACCTGGGGATTGTAGAGGGGGAGCAGAAGGATTTTTTTAAAAGCAGACGTGGAGGTGTTGATCAGTTTTCTTTTGCAGAGAAGATGCGTCTCTGAGGGCAAGGGGCTCCCGAGACCACAGTATATTTAAAAGTTAATCTATTCACTTTGCTGCAGTGACATGCCGACTGCTTGATCAGAGCGCTGAACAAAAATATTATGGGCCAGAGCCTTTGCTCCCCTTCCCTCCTGCTCTCTTTCGCTAGCGCTCAAGTCGTTCGTCACCATTTATTTTTGCTTCCCATCTTTGATAGTCGGCACATCAAATGGAATCACAGAAAGGACACGTTCTGACATGTCACAAGACAAATAAAACTGCGCACAAATAGCTCATCTATGAAGTGGTATTTGGTAGAACTGTTGTATTCTGCGAAGACAAATCGCCTCTTTAGACACACGTGTGTTGAAGCTTTTCCCTTTTCAATGTAAACAGCCTCTTGAGCTCTCATACCTGAGTTAAAGGGGCTTCTCTAGGAGCTGATATTGTATCACACCGTTAAGAGCCAGACTGAATTCTGCCTTTTGAAATGCAATCAGACCCTCACAATTTCAGTTGAAAGCCGGGCAATTAAGAATTTGAATTGGATGGCAACATTGACAAAGGGATATGTTAATCTGTGAGGTTATTGAAATCTTATTTTACATTTCATGGTTAAGACATGAGCTTGATCAAATCATCTGATCAAATAAATAATATTCCTCTTGAGAGAACCGTGTTTCAGAAAATGTACTTTTTTAATTAACTCAGAGACACGTGTATTATTTAGGCCTTAATCTAAGATTATTGATAACATTTTGGGGATTTTCTTTTTGTCAATTACTAAAGTCTGTGGAGCACCAATCCATGGTTTGAGCTATTTGCATGCATATTTGATATAATTAGCATCACTGAGCACAAAAGTTTTCTATATGGCAGCACATTTTAAAACACCCTTAAAAATCAGATGGCCACGACTCTCCACCCAAATACCGACCCCCTCCCCTCCCCAACCTACTACCAACCTGCACCCCCACCACAACAACAACAACAACAACAACAACAACAACAACAACAACAACAACAACAACCTGTCAGAATCATGCTAAAAGCCTCCAGAGGTAAGAAAAAGCAGAGACAGTGAAGAAGCAGGGGAGCAGTACTGCGTTACTCACCCAGCTGCTCAGATTGAGGTGCCAGTAGCCCACCTGCTGGAGGAGAGAGAGCCCGGGGCCCAGGACTCCTGCCTCGGCTCCCGTCTCCTCCGGCCCGGCTGAAACTCCATCCCGCGGGTACATGACCCTCTCGGTCCCACCCCCGCCCCCGTCTCCTCCTCCTTCCACCTGGCCCCCCCCCAGCTCCTCCTTCCCCTCTCTACGCCGGGGAGAAGCTCTCTCGCTTCTCTCTTGGACGCTTCTCTCCTGCACTTCTCCTTCTTTGTCTGTTTCTGCCTTGGCTCCTTCCTTCACTGTGTGCAAGTGTGTTTGCTGGGCATGTGTGGCGTGTGTGCATGTGTGTTTATCGGCCCCCCTCTCTTTGCACTTGGTGCCGAGGCCGGCTGAACATTGTTCCCTCAGGTTTTGACATAAGAGAGTGTGTGCATCTCTTGAGGCGTCTAAAGCAGGTTCAGGGTCTGAGGCCTAGTTTCCCCCCATAAACACACAGTCACCACAATCCTCCCCACCCACCCACATCCATCCTTAAAAAAAGAAATCCCTCACTCTAACCACAGAGGCTTTAGAGTCTCCTCTTCTTCTCAGCGAAAGTTTTGATGCCGGTGACAAGAAGCACAAGAAGCCAGAATGTGGACAGAGAGAAGAAAAAAAAAACTGTGAGCAGATTTTCAGCACTGCAGCAATCTTCCCACTAGCAATAACTCCAGAAAAAAAAAATATATACTCACAAACATACGCGCACAAAAATCAGTTATTACCCAAATCCCTGCTGTACGTTGGGCCTGTGTATGTGTTTCTTAGAGTACGTGTGTGTGTGTGTGTGTGTGTGTGTGTGTATGTGTGTGGGCTCTGCTGTGCCTCCAGGATGCCCAGAGACGAACTGGCAGCTTGAAAAGCTTTGGCTACAAGGTAAAGCGAGCGAGGCGAGAGATGGAGACAAAGAGGAGAGAGCAGGAGAGGGAGAGAGAGAGATAGAAGGGAACAAGACACAACAACATCCACAAAGGGAGGGCAGGCTCAGCAAAGTGTGGCCAACAGTCACTTTATCTGTGTGATGCTGACAGTCCCCTCTTCATACTCACTTTCTGAGGGAGGGGGGTGGAATTCTTCACTCTGACACGGACGTGGCACCTTTCTTTGCAATCCTTTTTATTCCCTCCCCCCATCTCACCCTTTTTCTAAACAATACCTTAGAGTGGTGAACAATCTTTCTCTTAACTCCCATCTCAACTCCGTCTCTTTTCAAGGTTCACGTGAACAAGGCCTCGATCCCCTCCTCACTGCCCTCTTCCCTTCCTTTCTGCATCTATGTCACCTTCAGAATCCATCATTCTTCTCAGAACTTAAGTTAAATGATAAGCTTCGCGTGGTCAAGACTTTCTGTCAACAAGCGCAAAGAAATTCAAGAGATCTGTTTGACATCAGAGCACACGCACACGCACACGCACACACACACACACACACACACACACACACACGCAGAGACAAGGAGATTCCATCAAACTGAGTTGTGATTTAGAAAACTAAACATGTTCCTAAAATCTGAACACGTTTTTAAAAAAAATGTGGGTCTCAATAAAAAAACCATGGGATTAAATTTTAATATTAGGGAAATATTGTCTAAAGGATCGGAGGAAAAATTAAAAAAAAATGAGTTAAACCACCTCGGATAAATAAATTGTATTTTTCAAAGCAACTTACATCTTTCACAAATAAAAATTCTGCCAACAGAATAAACAGTTTCTTAAGGTTAGGATCATTTTCATTTTTGCATTCTATAATTAACAAGATGTGTCATCCGTTTATTACCTTTTATAACCTCTAACAACCCAAATCTGACTAATTACCATGAAAAATTAAATATTTATAGAAAGAAATATTACCATCTAAGCACAGTAGCATTAATATATACATTTTTTATTTAACCCGATGAAGCAAAATACTAAAGAAAATATATCTTAACTAAGGGAATTAAAATATCTTTCAAAGCTACGCAAATAAAACATGTTTTCCAGCTGTATTAATGCATTTTGAAAGAGACTTTTCTCTTAATGCGTTGTTCCTTTCTTTTTCTCCTGCACTCGTTCAGCCTCTCTGTCACTGTTGGGACTCCTGCTCTTCCCCTGGCCTGCAGCAGGCAGTCCCGAGGCCCTTAAAGCCAAAACAAAGCCCTGGGAATGTCCTTTACACAGCTCGGACAATGGCGTCGCGGCTCCGGCTTGACAAGTAAAAGAGCTCCGACAAGGCGGTGGCTAATTGCCTGCCCTCCCTCTATTCAGCCGGCCTGCCACACTCCTGCCATCTCCTTTTGTCCCACGTGTACTTTCTTAAGTAAACTGCCAGTTCACCAGCGAGTGATGGACAGCTCCCAATCACCCAGCGACAATGGCGTCAACGCCACAACACAAGAGAGCACAGGGGGGAGAAGAAAATACTCCATTCCACTCCACTGTCTGGGATGTTCGCACGAGACCAGAAAGTGTGCAATACAACAAAAAAAGGGAGAACAAAAACTTTTGCAAAACAAGGAAACGGAACGGCCTCTGACCTTTACAAATGAATTATTTTCACAGATAAATTTGAACAATGCAGAATAAAACCGCAGTGAGAGAAGCCCTTTAACTAAGTCGTCTAATCTCAAAGTCCTGGTTCTCTTCATTTAGAATATATACGATCATAATTACGGTGTAATTACGTTATTTAGAAAAATCAGATAAAGTGAAAAATTGCAGATACTAAAAGATTTTAGACATGAACTAGAAAGAATATGAACCCTGATTTATTTATGTTAACTAAAGCAAAGAAGTAGAAGATACAATCAGAACTCCTTGACTTTAGATGCCAATACAACGTATAATATTTTAAACTGCTTCAATATAAATAGTGGAATTTGTCAATTAGATTTAATATAATTGTGTTTTACCATACAATAAACAATAATACTATTTAGTTTGAAGTCTTAGAATAATACACCCCTGTCAGGCTGTCAAGACAAAGCAATCAAACAGTGCCTTTCATTATCCAAATTGTCAATCTGTCACTTAGCAACATAAGTGTTATAAATTGCCAAACGAAGCCCAGACAAATACCCACGAACAAATACAATCAAGACATAATATTTAAAGCCAAATAAGCACCATGGAATAAAGCACAGCTGTAATTAAAATGTTGAAAAGTCTTACCATTTAAAAGAGCTGTATTTGGGATGCTGCTCGGCTCCTGGTTAAAACAAGCATGCTGGCACTCGTGGTAGTGCACAGACTCCAAGCAGACTCCCACCACCATGTCAGCCACTAATCCACTGGGGGGCAGCACCTCATCTACGGCAGCCCCTCGCTAACGCCCGATGGGTTAAGCCGATAAGAGAGTGTCCGGAGAACCGGGGCGAGAGCACCGACTTAGGACGGTAGCCCTTCAGGTCCCAGAGCGAGGAGGACCACGGTGGCCAGAGCTGGCTGTTCACTCTCAGCCCCCTCATGCATTCAAAAACGCACACTTAGGCTGCGCTGCTCTTCTCTTCTCTTCTCCGCGTCTGACCGGGACCCCCTCTTTCCCCCCTCGCCCATCTTCATATCCCCCCCTAATAAGCTCTTTTGTGTCCATCTCTCTTTCTTTGATAAGTTGAAAGAACAACAAAAAGAGGGAGCGAGAGAGAGAGGCTTTCATTCAGCGGCTTGGCAGAAATAAAAGGTAGTGGAGTGCCGTCTATAGGAGTTGCCCTAACTTGGCTAAACTCAAGCAGCGGGGTGTCTCTCGTCATGTCATTAATCCCCAAAAACTAGCCACGCTCCATTCACCGCAAGTCACACTAAATTAAATACAAAATCAAAAACACAAATGCCGGGCAGGAAAAAAGTGTCAGAAAAAAAAGGCGAGAGAAAGCATTCCGATCCGGGGCAAAGGGTGTGTAGTGTCGCGGCCACGTTTGCTCCTCGGTCGCCACAATTTTTTGATGTAAGAAGTGACGGGAAAAAAACAGCCACACAAAAGACAAAAAAAAACGGATATTTATCACCAAAAGAACCCGTCATTGTGGTGCAGCTTTTGCACCTCCAACTATCCCGCCGGAACTCTCTTAAGACAACTGAGAGGCGGGAAAAGGAGCCCCAACTCCAAAGTCAACACAACAAGCCACCAACAGCGGTTAAAAACAACACCAAAAAATACCAATAAATGGTAACAAGCCCCGTCTGGTTTTAGGGAGAGCTGGCGATAGAAAATTCAACCCGGCCAACTGGTGGCTTGAAGAGAGGAAGCCCACTCTTAAAGCCGTGATCCGACCATCCACCGTACCACCGCTGTGAGCCTTTTAACCACAGCAGAAAAAAAATGACTATTGATCTTCAAATAGCGATAATTGAAAAGATGAAAAAAGATTAAACAACAAAAAAAAAATCAAGAATGTGCTGACTTACCATGTTGTGCTCCCCTTTTGTTGTAAGTTTTTGTTAAAATAAAAAAAATGATTTGCTCAAAGATGCAGCATTGGAGGTGTCAAATTGTCGTAGCCGTCTCTTGATCGCATTACTTCCACAGTCCTGGTTTCCAATGCGTCTGAACTTTTTCCCTTTCTCTTTTATTTTGTTTGTGGTACCTAGCCCTTTTTTTCTCCCCTGCTTAAGACTTTAAAAGCCTTCAGCTCAGCAAAGCAGCACAAATTATCTTGCCACCTTGCTCAGCTCTGATGCTTTGGCCGCTAACTTTGGAAGGCCCTTTACTACTGCATCAAAATTAGCATTGTCAAAGCAGTTAATGAATATTAATATTGTATTTGTCATTGGAGCTGGCCCATTGCTGAACTCCAAGTCATCCATCAGGGACAAGATTAAGCACACAATTATTTCTGACTGACAGGGACCAAAATCTGGAAGATTTTTTTTTTTTTCTCCTCCAACAATTTAAAGAAAAAGACACAACATCATCTTAAGGTACCTCCCATGAGACGAGACAAGATTAATACACTTTTAATGAAGCAAGATTTCACGGTGCATGAACAGCGGGACCCTCAGCAAAGAAAGGAGACGAATATAGAAATATTTTCACTGATAATTTTAACCATTTTTTTTAAAGGATTTAAATCATAAATTACAAATAATTTTGATGACGGAAGACAAAATTAAAATCCAAAGAACATCCTTTTTTTTTTCTTCTTTTGATAAAATACAACGGATTTATTCTCCTTGATTTTTTATTTATTTTTTGTACGAGAAGATCTGGATTTGCTTTTTCCACCTTTGTTGGAACATTAATAGAAATAAGATTGTACAAGCGCTACACTGTGAACATCGCTGGCGCTAAATTTAACATGAAACATTCATTAAAAACGCTGGACCTCCAGCTTGCGGAGCACCGACCGCGGAAGGACCACACAGGCAGCCTCCATCAGCAGCACCACCCGCTGCAGCGCTGCGCTACCCTGGCTTCCTCCCCTGCTCCGCCACCCGCTTCCCTCAGAAACAGCTTCACACCAGGAACCCCCGGCTGTCAAATACGGCTCTCTGCGCAATTTCCCAAAACCTTCATCAAATATGTCACAATGCACAGTTCTAAATATTTTCTACATAATGATGTCATTCCAATTTACCCCCACGAACAGTTTAATAAATATAAAACTCTCTCGTATCAGGAATATTTGAAGCAAAAGCATTCCTACCGGTAACTGTCTTGAAGAATTACGCAGATGACACGCCATCTTCTTCACTCCTCTCTACCCAAAGCGTCACTGGATCTTTTGCATGATTTCAAAAAGCAAACTCTTTTTGTCTTTTCTCACATTTTGTATATTCTGAGCAACACAAGAGTCGAGCTTCCAAAATCAGGCTCCATCCCTTTTTTCCCACAATTATCTGATCAGTTTTCTCCGTACATTGATTTCCGTCAGCGGAGCGGCCGCGTGCAAAATCTTATTTGGGTCGAATTAAAACTTATTTTCCACTTTCGCCCTTCTGAAGAATACTGCTATAAAATAACGGGGAGAGCACGGAGGGGGGGCGCGCAAACAAAAAATGGCAGATGTGGGGCACTAATGCCAGCAGCCTAGTGAATTGGTGTGAGTGTGGGGGTCAAGCTGCGGGCTCACCTTGGAGCGCCGAGCCCCTGCCGACCACCCTGCCGGCGCCCTAATACCATTAGCAACCCTTAGATGAACATACTAAATTGGCCTTTTGTTCTCCAGGTGCCGATCCAGCCTCGCTGGTGTCACGGACCCAAATACAGATGGTGCTGCCTTTTTTGTGAAATGAATAGCGAGCATAAGAAAGCGCTCCGTTTTTCACGCATTCTTCCAATCTCTTCGAAAGCCGTCGGCTTTGCCGAATACTTTTTTCCAAGCGCACCATTCACATTTAAAACTTTAGATATCACTTTGTTATATTTTCTCTCAATTTAATTCATGTTAAAATGTCCCCTAAATGTGTATTATTATTATTATACACACATACTTTGCTATTACAATTTAGAACGGATATTTGCAAGATCTCGCAATGAGGCGTCTCATGAATTAGACTTGATCCAATTCAGCAGCAAAGAATGATAAATGTAATAAAATGAGGGAGCCAAACCAGGATTTTAATTCAAATTTCATAAACAATAATTTGAGTCTTAATAATTATAATAATTATTTCAAGGCTGACAAATAAAATAATTTGCTGCCCAAAAAAAAAAAAAAAAATCAGACAAATAAAAATATCTGCATTACAGCTCAGACAGTATAAATTCACATTAATAAATAACATCTTTATAATACAAGATCTCAAATGGCAGCGTAGGAATGCCGTATATTAAATTGTAATTATACAAATGATCTGTTAATTGTTGTGACACGAGCACAGACACTGATTAAGTGTTCACGGGAGGTTGTCTGTGAAAACAGGCACCGAACACAGAAACCCACCGCGGCTTAATTCAAGTCGAGAGCCTGAAACAGGTCCAATCTAGGTGAGGAGGAGAGACGGGAAGAGAGAGAGAGACGAGAGGGAGCAGGGCAGGCAGCTCTGTGGCCCAGCGTGATCACATCAGCGCTAGTATCAAATTAACTCTCTGACTTTGAAAGTTATTGATCTGCTATTAAGACACTAGTGAACTTGATGAAGTGAGTGCTGTAGGTGACTCTGAGACTTCAAAGTCTCACACCAGCCACATAAAACAAGCCACTTTGATCCCCTCTCTCCGCTCCTCGGATCTGGAGAGGGGGCTTCAGAGAAACCCCCCAATTCTCCTCTCCTCTCTTCTCGCACTCACCCCGGGCCCGAGCTTCAGCTCTCTCTTTCCCTTTTCCTACGTCTGCTCATGATGCCCGCGAGAAGCCCCGGCAAAGCTGCGGTGCCACGCGATGTTCAATCGCACCACATTTTTTACAGAGCAGTCAGCAAGTTGAGAGCACAGTAGAGTGTAACAGTGGCGCAGACAGATCTCCTTTCTGATTCACCAAGAAATAATAAACCAACACGCACACAGAAAAATGCAATATGGTGTCAAAACAACTACTAGAATAAGACGGCCATGTAAGCGCCATTCGCATTAAAATTCAGTGTCGATAAGAAGGGGATTCTTCATGCCAAATACGGCATGTAATAAGGTCGGCGATGAGAGAGACAATGCAGAGTGGGAGATAGCAGCACTATTGTGTGCTGAATACATCCCCCTCTTTGCTTAAGGCAAGTCTTCCCACTACATTAAATACTGTGTGCTGCCAATCACACCTGCCTTTTTTTTTTCATTTTGTGCCACTGGGTGGAGGTAGTAGTTAATGTTTTCAACATGCAGCGTATCACTTGAATATACTGAAGCAGATACAAATCACAACCGGCCCACAGATTTCTTCCTCTCTATTTCAACAAATAAAAGAAAAAACAAGGACACACAAAAAAACAAACGTATTTTTTGTTCTCATGTTGCAGCCTGCAAAGACTGAGAAACTAAATCTCAGGTTCGCACTCCACCGAGCTGCTAACTTAAGCGGGACCGAGTACAATAAATATTAACGGCTAAATTAATTATCGGCAGGACAGTGTTTGCGCTCAGGCTCCGGCGCTCTCAGGCACCGTGTGTGTGTGTGTGTGTGTGTGTGCGTTCGAGTGCAAGTGTGTCTGCACTTGGAGTGCCGGTACTAAGCTGTGGCTGTTTTAATTAAGAGGGGTAAAACAGATGACAAATGCGAGACAGTTAAACATTTA